AAAAAAAAAAAAAAAAAAAAGAATATTACTGAAAAGACACAAGTCCCGCTTGGCAACTGCCACCTCCAATGCTGGTTCCTGTCCAGAGGCAACCACTATCTATCTGTGCAGTTGTTCTCTTGCAGACCTCTGCTCTTTGTGTGGGTATAGATCTCATCAATGCTCGTGAGGAAGGACAGGTGTGGGAACATTACCATGCTGATTTTCAGACTTTGTGTATCTTTCTACAGTACATGTTTTTACTCATCAGGCTGCCCCAGAGATTTTTCCATTTTGTTCAGAGAGTCTCCACTGACTTCTTCCAATGACTACTTAGTAGTCAAAACTATCTGCGTGCCCTAATGTTCAACAGCTGCCAGGCAGTGATTTTTAAAACTGTCTCCAATTTTTTTTCACTACTTATAAACAATACTAAGATGAACATCTTCCTACGCCTTTCCTGTGTCCACATGCAGGTATTTCTGGACGCTCGGTGCCAAGTAGCAGAATGTCTGAATCATAGATGGAGATGTTTAAGTGTAATAGATATCACCCCACAGCCCTCCCAAGATAAGTTTCTGTTTCCTTTCTAGGTATTTTTAGTTAGGCATCTGTGTTCATACGGGAACTCACTTTCCAGCTGGTTGTGTTAAATTGTCAAGAGGGGATGGGTGGAGGGAGGGTAATTGGTGAGACCGCACCTACGGTGCATCTTACAAGGGTACATGTTAAATTTACTAAGTGTAGAGTATAAACGTCTGAACACAATAACTAAGAAAATGCGGTGAAGGCTATGTTCACCAGTTTGATGAAAATATTTCAAATGCTATATAAAACTAACATATTGCATTAATGTACACAGCTATGATTTAATTAAAAAAATTATCAAGAGGAAGATCGAGAAATACAAAGAATTTCTTTCCCTGCAGAACCAAGAATGAGCCACAAGGCATTTAGACCAGATGGAAAGGATCGATCAATCATCGAACTCAGAGTCGCTGGAGATGGGGAAACTGAGGCTTACCGGAAGAGATTGACTTGCTGAGATTAAGCCCTCAATCCCTTCTTCTAGACAGTTACGAGGAAGCGCATACTCTCACATAGGATCTGGGGAGAAGGTGTGGGGTGCAGGGGTGGGGAGGGTGTTCCAAGTTCAAATGTAATCACATCCCATTCTTTGCTGAAAATATTTCAGTGGTTCAATGTACTCTAACTTCAAGACACCACCCGGCCCTTTGCCCTCTTTCTCCAGAGAGCATCAGAATCTCTTCTGTGGCCTCAGGGCACTTTGCATACTTTGTTTATTTTCAGCTCCTCTGGGATATTTCTTGCTCCTACCCCTCCACAGTTACACTCACCTGGCTGACTCCTACTCACCTTGCTGAGATACCCATCTTCCTCAGGGAAGCTGCCCTGTCCTCCTAACCGTGCCAAAGCCCTCTCATAATAGCTCTGAGCACTTTGTGCATCTCCTTCAGAGGACTGTTCACATCCTCACTTTATATTCGTTTGTGGAATACAGTAAATCCTCACTTAATGTCTTTGTTCTTGGAAACTGCAACTTTAAGCGAAACGGTGGCGTGCTGTATACCACAGGAACTTAGCTCTTGTTTGCAGTGAAATTGGATTCATTGCACACTAAGTCATCTCATTCAAGGTCACAGTTTCCAAGAACCTGTCAACGATGTTAAGCGAAGACTTAGCGTACTTGAAAAATTTCTGACTCACCTCTGAGCCTGAGAAAGGCTGGTTTCTGTCTGCTGGGTCCTCAAGCATTTAGCCAGATGCTGAGTGTTACCTGAATGAAGAACAAAGGAATGAGGAACTTAAGTCCTGTCCCTTTTCCCCACAGCCTGCCTCTGTCATCATCAGACCTGAGGAAGCTCACCCTGGACACACCCCTCTCTGACCACACAGGAGAGGCTGTCCAAAATCCTGGGCTTCAGATTCAGCCACACCTCATTTCAAAGCCCATTCAGCCACTTAGACTCTGCTGTGTCATTCGTGTCCATGGAGACTCGGTTTCCTCATCTGTAAAATGAGGCAGCAGCCCCTGTCTTGCAGATCTGTGTAAGGCATGAGCTAACCCTGCCCCAGGCCCAGCCTACTATGAGTGTTCGATATTGGGGGGAGCTCAGAGTCCCCCCTACTCATAATCACCACACTCTTGTGGTCTAAGGCAGGTCTCCGTGCTATGTTAATACCATGCCAGCATTCCCAAGTCTTCAGGTCTTTACCCTGAGTCCAGCAAGAAGGGTTAAGCCCCAGCATTGAGCAATCCAAACACAGTCATGGCCAATGCAGGTACTAAAGGCCAACATGGGTTGTGGAACAAGACCTAGCATGTTCAGCTAAGGGGGAGGAGAGAGCCGGCTACCTTGAACCCATGCCATCTTTCTCCTTCCAGAGAATACACCCCTGTTTTGCCCTGGGAGCACCTGCAAGCCTCCGTATGGAGAACAAAGATCTTTCTGGATCCCCGGAAGAAGAATTGATCACAATGGGAGAAGGCGCGCGTTGGCTGAGCTCCACATGCCGGAGTCAGTGTGGGAAGCTAGAGGGAACATTCTACAGCTTTCACAGGGGGCACATCTGGAGCTTGGAGCTGGAGCCATGTTCAAGAGCTTCAGGACACCTCAGAACTTCAGCCTCTGCTCTGTTATGTCTTTCCCACCCCAGATGTAAACCTCTGCCATCAGTCAGCATTGTTCCCAGACTTCATCATGCATCAAATATTCATTAATGCCAAGTCCTAGAGATTCCCTGGAGGGCAAGACAAATGTGGCCCTGCTCTCCCAGAGCTCATGGGCCCAAAGCTTGGCCCCAACAGCCGCAAGGCAAGGGAGCTGGGGCTGCCTTGCCAGGTCTAGGGTCAGCAAAGCCTTCAGGACAACAAAGCATAAAGGGGTGTTACAGGGGAGCAAGAAGGAGCCCAAGGTCTGACCATGGCAGACAAGCAGCCAGCCAGCCACTGGCAGGGACCAGGTCTTCCCTGTAGCCCTTCACCCTTCTCCAGTCACTGGGGCAAAAATGGGTCTCCTGCAGCGAAAAATTAATTAATTAATCAGCATGCAGCAGACCTGTGTTGTTTCCATAGTGTACTCCTAGGACCCGGCACAGGGCCCACCGTAATGCGGGAAGGAAGGGGGAAAGCAAAGGGAAAAGGGAGGGGAGGAGAGAAAAGAATGGAAGGAGGAGGAGAGAGGAAGGAAGGAGGGAGAAAGGGAGGGAGGCAGAGAGGGATTCCTCGACTCTCTGAGTGTCCTGGATTCATCTACTCATTTCTTTATTTTCCCAAGACTATTGACCACGCTCATGTACTGGACTCTAGGGATAGGAATGTGGCAGACGAGGTCCATGCCATCATGGCGTGTGTGTCCTGGGGCCGACAGAGAGAGCACGCTTAAAACAGCTTCTTTTTAGTGCATTCTGTAGAATCCCAGCCCCACAAAGCTGAGTAGCAGGCTCCCCAGTCAGCCTCTACCGCACCCCTACTCCCCTTCTTGTATCCTCACATCAGAATATTAAAGGTTCTTAGAAGTTTTGCAATTTAAAAAAGGAAAAGAAAAGCCGAATTCACCAGGTCTGTTCCAAACTTCTCAGCCGGCAACCTGCTTTTACTCAGATTAACATCTTACAATCTTGAAGGAATCAGATGAGGTCACCTCCCTGTTGGCCCTGGGTGAGCCTCCCTGTCCTGTTCGGCCAAGTTCCTCCTCACTCAGAGCTTATTCCCGACAGCAGGCCCTGTGGATGGGCCACAGTTTCCGAGGCTTGGGCTTCCTGGCACCAAGGGGACCGCTGCCCTGATGGAGCTCCAGGAGACCATGCCCTGTGCCATCTTTCTCCCACATGTGACGGGCCCATTCCACCCCTGGGGCTGGAGGGCAGGAAGAAGCTGTAGGAGCAGCCACAAGGGGCTGGACGCTGATTTGAACAGCAGGAGGGCTGGAGGCCTGGCCTGACCCGAAGGACCATGTGATTGTGCCAGAGGCCCAGGTTTTGGCAGGGCCCGAATCCTGCTTGCCAAGGGAACTTGGAAACGGCCAAAGCCCTGTGCAGATGAAGACAAACATCAGACTCGTGTTTCTGATTCACTTATGCTCAGTGCATCAAACTGCTGTTTGGTGAAAGCTGCTTACATTTCAACAAGTCCACGGGCCTCCTTTGCAAATGTGATTTAGCTTTGTCCAAAGACCTCCTGGCCAAGATGGAAAAACTCAGGCCCTGCCTCTCTGACTTCAGGAAGAGGGCTGCAGCCACTAGACCCGTGTTTCTCAACCTTTTTTATCTCACGGTACACTTGAACCTAAAGTTAAACTTCCGTGGCACACTTAAATTATGCTGATTTAAAAAAAAGAAAGAGTGAGAAAAAGAATGAACTTACTGTGCTTTGAATGTCTCTTGAAAATGATTTAACTAGTGATCTTTAAAAATTTTCACAGCACACATAAGACCCTCTCCCACCACCCTACTCTCTCCTGTCTCCCAAGGGTAGGGCAGTGATTTTCAACCAGTGTGCCGTGGCACAGTGGGGTGCCATGAGAGGGTCTTATGTGAATGTTACTTTTTATCATTATTATTATTGCTCAATATTTTGTTGCAGCAATCATCTGATTTCTTTCCTGAATGTATTTATCTTCCTCCATTCTTTACGAGGTTTTTGTTTCTAGTCCTTATCTTGAACCTTGCTATTGTTATTAAGTTGTAAGCCTTTTTAATTTTGAGAAGGCAAAAAGCGGAAACCAAATAAACACATGTATATCTATAGAGAAAAGAAAAAAAGAAAATCACCGCCATAGATGCACTTAGAGCAGTGGTTCTCAACCTGTGAGTTGCGACCCACAGGAACTGCAATAAAGGGCCGCAGCATTAGGAAGGTTGAGAACCACTGACTTAGAGGAACATAATTCACCTTTCCTCAGTTTTTTCATCTGTAAATGGGGAGAGGGTGCTGACCTGGTAGAACTGCTAAATTACAGAATGCATTATTGAAGCCCCAGACACTTACTAAGCACTACAGACTACAGTAGTGTATATTATTAATAATGGTAATAGGATTGTTATCAGCATCTTCACCACCACCAGTGTACAACTCACCGAACCTACAGCTATAAATCCTTGAAATGTTGTGTAGATTGTTAGGATAGATTGTCACAGTGGTGACCCACCGAGGAACAACACCCTTATCAGAATCCATGCCTTTGTGCAATCCCTTCCCCAACAGGAGCTCAAGGCTTGAACATGTGACGACTTCCCTGCAGCCACTTTGCCTGGAGGGAGATCAGGGTAACCCCTGCCTTAGACAGAGACACCCCGAATCCCAACTCAGATCCCAAATGGATGGAGCCACATGATGAGCCCAGAGGAGACCAGCAGAAGGTCCACACCGCCAAATAAGTGGCTGTCCTGAGCCACTAAGTTTTGGGGAGGTATTGTACACAGAACCGATGGCTGACGTGACTGTTCAGCTTACAGCTGCTTGATCTTTTTGACGATTCATTTCTTCTGTTCACACTTTCTTAATTCTTCTCATTCCACTAGACTCCCCGGATGGGAGACACACAGAGCCCAGAGCCTAGTGAGAGGAGATCACAGTTTATCATCTTAATTTACAGCAGTCACCACCCCCACGCCGTCTCAGAGGGCCTTGTAGATGACAGATGAATGTGCCCTCAATGCACCCAGGACAGCTTGTCACTGGGAACCCCGTGGCTGCTGTTAGAACCAAAATGCAAGTGAGTTCAACTTGATTCCAGAACACTCCATGAACACAGACTAATAGGAAGGAGGACCAGTCTGAATAAGCAAAAGGGAAAAGCATTTGAAAGAAATGAACTCCATTTGTGTGGCTCCAGAACATATACCGTGACTCCAATTAAACACTGCGGTGTTGGCAACTACTAGTATCAGTCCCTCTGATGAGTGGAGTGGCTTGGTTTGTAATCGACATATCAATGGCTTGAATGCAAACGAGTTCCTCCAAAGTATCTGGAGCTGCTTGTGAAGAGTTTATCCTCTTAAATGTTTCAGCATTAACCCTGCAAACACTTATCCCCATAGGCAGAGCAATGACCTAGGAAAGAAAAATCTCATGTCTCTGCCTTCAGCCAGGTGATCCTCCCAGACTTCGGATCTATAGTAACCATGTGTTTGTTGAAAATGGCCCCTGGAATAGATCCAACAAAACTGTCATGTGGAGCTGGCACGTGCCAATCACTGTACCCAGTGCCACTGATTCAATTCTCACAGCCACCCCAGAAAACAGGCGTCGTTTATATCCCCAGTTCACAGATGAAGGAAAGGAGGGAAGGTCAGAGAGGGTAAAGGACTTTTTCAAGGCAGCAGCTGTGTGATTCCAAGTCCAAATCTTGGCCTCAGTAGGTTCCAGAACTCCCCTGTGCCTTCCTCTTCCCTCCCTGGCCTCCTGTGTTTCTTCTTAGGGATAGTGGCCATCTATAGATCCATCCATGGGGCCAACCCACATGCAAACCTTCCAAAGGACCGCCTGAGAATCTCTCAAATGTAGCCACTCTCTGCATCCGTTCTGCCACAACCACTCCGTGATGATAGCAATGTCCCCTAACTCACCTCTCCCCCTCTGCGCTGTCTTCCCACAGCCCACTCTCTCCATGCGGCTGGGGAGTCTGTCCACCCAAGCCTGAGAGCTGGGCTTTAAACTCCATGTGAAGGAAGGGGTAGACTTTTCTGAAGATATGCATGAGGATAGCTGGGTAAGATATGGAGAAAGTGGGGGATGCATAGGCGGGGCCAGAATCCTGGGGGTGTAGGGGGACCCAGGCTTACAAGTGACAGGGATGACCACAGAGATCACTTTCCTTGTGCAGGCAAAGCATGAGAGAAAGTCAAAGACTTTGATCATTTTCTTGGTCTGTGTTCCTCCTCTGCAATAACTTGCCTCTGAGATCGGCCTGACTTTCTAGTCAAGGACTTTATAATGCAAAAAATCCAAATAAAAACTCATGTCCAAGGCCTTGCAGAGTGTGTCCCCTGTAGCCTAGAGGGGGTCCTGCCAGATCCTTCCATGCACACCCTCCTTTACACACCCCTAAGTCCACATAAACCTGTTGCAATTCTCCAGATACCCTAGGATCTCTCCCACCCAAGACCTTTGCACAGGCAGTTTCCGGAATCTGAATTTTCTTCTCACTCACAAGTCCCTTCACTAGCTAAATCCTATACTCATCTTTTGAGCTTCAATTTATGCACCTGTTCCTCCTAAAAATCTTGCCTGAGCCCCAGATCCCAGTTAGATGCTTTCAAAAAATTTCTTCCCAGCTGACTTCCCCCCATTACCCGTCATCACATTACTGTTATCCTGTTGGTGGTGGTGCTGATAACTACTGATGAATGAATGAATGAATGATGTGCTTGCCAACCCCAATTTAGCCTGGCCCAGTCTATAGAGCCTGGGTAAAAGAGGTACCACATGCCCCAGGCCATGTCACATCACCTAGATCTGTCTGGGGAAAGATGCTGTGACCTCAAGGGTGAGTAAGTACATGTGTCCATAAAGAGGCCTTTGGCTTCTTGGGCTCAGCCTCGGAGCATGCTGGGAACACAACAGTGGTGGCACCGGAAGGAAGGTGTGAGATGAACAGAAGTAGGGAAGCCAGAGGGGGTCAGGACAGGCGTGAGGAGCTGCCTCCATTCTCAGGGGTCTCCAACGCAGGCAGCCTTTGGCCTGAATTTATGCACTGCTGAGAATGAGAAATATCTATTGCTGGGGAGAACCAGAGGCCGTCTTTCTAGTTTACAAGCATGCCCAGCTCTCTTCCTTGTCTCTTGGCCTTTGCACTTGCTGTTTTCTGCGTCTGGAATACCCTCCTCTGGGTCCCTGCAGGGCCGGTGCCTCGTCACTCAGATCTCATCTGAAACGTCACCCCCTCCGAGAGACATTTCCAACCCACCTGTCAGTGTTCCCCACCCCTCGCCCAGTCACTCGGCACCGTACAGCCCTGCTTCATTTTCTTCACGGCACCTGCCAGTGTCATAAGTCGTCCTACGTGTGGATTTGTTCTGTGCCTCTGCTGATCCATCACAAGACCCCCAGGGTCAGGACCAAATCTTATGTGAGTTCATCTCACTGGAAAACACTGATCCCACCTAGAACTCTAGAAGCCAGGGAACATGTAGGAATGTGGATGCATTCCTGGTCCCTGTGACTCAGGGGAGAGCATTGAAAGACGTGAGAATAAATGTGGACCATTAAAAACATATCTTGTATACATCTCTCTCCCTAGGCTGTCCCTTCTCTTCCATATGGATAGGAACAGCACTCACCTGGAGTTTTACTGGGATCAAATGGAATAACGCATGGGAAGCGCTCAGCAGACTACCCCTGCTGGTCCTTCTGTCCTGAACACGCTTTCTCAACACTGACTACTCCTGTACACCCTCTGTCTTAAGGGAGCTGTCGTTTCCGGGGGACTGCTTCCACATTCAGGCTTGATCTACGTTGCTACCTGTCATAATATTTCATAGGATCTTGTGTTTTTCCTTCACAGCACGTGAACATATGCAGTCATGTGTGTGACTATGTATTTAAGATCTGTTGCTCTCATCTGTGAACTTTCCAAGGTCAGCCACCTTTGGGGGCCTCCCTCCCGACTCTCAAGGTGGTCCCACCTGACAAACACTTTCAGAACCTGGTGATATCCTGGAAGGCTTTCAGTCCTACCTCTGTCCTCTACTGGGAGGCACTGAGGCCCAGAAAAAGGGGAGGGGAGGACATATTACAGCCTCCTCCCACATGGCCTGCAGAATGTTCAGGCCTAGTCAGAGGACAGTGAGAGATGGGGGAGGGCAGGAGGACTAGTGGCTTCTCGGTGGTGGCCCCAGGTG